GTCCTGAAGAAAAATATACTTATCTTTATAAATTATCAATAAGCTGCAGAAAATTACTAGCAAAGAAATCTTATTACCTTGATAATAAGAAATAGAAAAATAATTCCAACCCTCATCCGTTTTTAATCCATTAGTACGTGATAAATCTTTCGATTTCAAGAAGGCACGATTCCATTCAGAAACTATAATTTAACGAGGGTAAAAAAGATTAAGGAAAAAGGATGTTTTTTCATTACCCTGATGGAAGCAACAGCAGCGGCACCAAAGGCGTTACAAACTCGATAAGACTTCACTTATCTTCGGTTAAAAGTCAACTTACATCGTTTTGACATTCAAGGCTCACGAGAGATGCATCCTGAAAATACACCAACACACATACACATTGAGAGAGTGAAAGACTTGTAACTAACCAAGCGCACACCAATCGAGAACTAACCTTGGCTAACCTCGGGTTATGCAGCGGTTTCGCTCGACTATATAACCAGTAGATGTTCGTTAAACTTGATTATACTTCAAGTTTTGCAGTTTTCTTAGTTTGTATTATATTTATGTCCGAACCAATCTCGCTTTGAATGTTCACGTTGAAATATCTAACATTTGATGCTTTACCCCCAAAGGTATACGGATAATTGCGAAACAAAAAAAAATTCTTTTCAACTACCTCTTAATTTTGCAGAATTGAATTACTTTAATGTAACGTAAAGCTTGAATTACGGATTAGATAACAAAAAAACCACAAGATTCAAAATTTACCGATACTTCTTCCTCGGGGGGTTTGGGGTCTGATTACGAACCCGATGTTAGATTTTCAAAATTCAAAATGGCAGATTTCAAGAACACTAGTCAGATTTTTACGAAATTCGATATCTGGGGTTTTTGGGGTGATTAGGAATCTGGAGAAATATTAATTGATTTGAAGGCAGTGTCGCGTTCTAAAAAAAATCGTTATCGACAAATATTGTGGTGAAAGTAAAAATAGGATCAGTGATTGTAATTAATTCCCGCATCCTCCTTGTACTTATAATTTATATAAAGCAGTTATTCTAAATTAAGTGAAAAGCACGATCGTTTAATTGACCCTAGTCAACTAATTAGATCCTTGTCGAGCAAGTATCTATCTTCCTTCAATTAGAATCCCGTTTTCAGTTAATTACCAGGCGGTCTTACATCAAGTGGGGTTGGAATTAATTCGCACGTCCTAAGGAACGATAGTTGAGAAAGCTTCCGAATAACTAAATTTTACGTATTAATTTTCTCTTTTCCTCTTCTGCTTTTTTTTCTTAAAAAGTATTTCTAATTTCTTAAACGGTTTGACAAACTTTAAATAATCAATTCTTCAATTTACTAATTTTGTGACAACAAAAGCGGTGCTGAAAATTATCATCGACATTTGTCTGATCAAACATGAGACATCAAGAATTAATGACTTAATTACAAAATGATACGCTTCGTTTCAAAATTAATGTACCGTTTAAACACACGCGGTATATGAATCGTATCGCAATTTGGCATCGCCCTTGATCGAACAGTATTCTTCCTTCTCTTAAAAGTTTCCTATAGAACATTTTAATTCGTAAAGGGAACAAGAGTAGCAGACCTCTTTTTTCCTAAATCGGGTCAAATTGCTAATTTATTACTTTTCTTTGTACTTTTTTTACAATATTCATCGAAATGAATAACGCCTCTTTCTTACATTCACCCACATATTTTTCTCTTTTTAAAAAATGCACATCATTGTCCAGAAAGAAAGACAAAGGAGAATTTAAAAAAAAAATGCTATTCACAATTCGCACATAAGTCGATAAAGAAAAAATCATCCATCTGAATGATCGTTATCGCGATTACGATTGCAAGTTTTGTCAGGACAATAAAAAGGAGAAGTAAACGGACGCAGGAGCCTTGTACTGATTATAAATGGACTATAAGCCCGCCTACCACGTCGGAAACTCTATATTCCGCAATAGCTCCTGAAGAAGAATTCCAATGTGGACATTGATCCTTATACTCGGCGTATATCCCAACTGGCACCATTCATCTGTCAGATGCAACCAACATTGCCGGAGAAGATTACCACCTTTTGAAGGTTACTTCCGAGGAAACGACTTACTCCTCGTCTTTCGATCTTTTCCGACAGTCTTTCTACTTTTGCAGGATTGTTTCGTTCATATTTTTTAACTTTGGATATTCACTTTTTAATTTTTATTTATTTATTTAATACAAAGCATTCAAAGCAATTGCTTCATGTTGATGACCTGCAAATATACATTCACACTAGACTTAAAAACTTCGATAAAAATGTACCTTTGAGGATGTTAGTTCTGTTTGTAATGGGTCCAAGTCTTATCATTTTAAGGTAGAATTTAATAAGACCTGTGTTATGATAATTAATGTGTCAGATCATTAAACATTAATTGTTTACTATAACCCTAATTATAGCAAATTGCTTTTTATCAAAAACATTACTGAAAGCAAAGAAACAATTACTATTAGCTAGATGTGTTATTAACCAACTAACAAGATTTGCTGCAATTAGAACTGAGTAGCAATTAATTCTCTAGACACTTGGGAGCAAAAGAAAATAGGAGCATGATAGATTGATAGGTAATAGTAATCTCTAGATTACTATCTTACCAGGCAGGACGTTGGGCTGCAGAAAAAGTTAACAACCGACGGAATTACCAACAAATTATTTACGGTCAATAAACAATTGATCGGTATTAAGAATTATCGGAATAAACCTATATTGTTTGGCATCAGTGGTCTCGATTACTCATCATCTATATCTCTTGCCATTGCAGTTGCTTAATTGCGTTATTTATTTTTTCCTCGATTGTTTGTTGTACCTACCACAGTGTACCTTTTTCTGAAAATGTGTTCAAAACCTAGTATCACTTTAAGGAATTAACGAAATTGAATGGCTTATGAACGAAATAAAAGATTCATAAATGCAAAATACAGGAAAATTATACAAAAATAAGGTTAACAAATTTTAAGGTTAAGAAACAGCGTCAAAAGTAAGAATCTTCGTTAAAAAAAATCACAAATCTTAGTCTGTAAACCACAGCCGATAATCAGCAGAAGATGGAAAATTATTTTTAAAGTGAATTTTATCTTCCGTTTACAAACAATTATTGGTCATAAAATTTTCTACTGGTCCCAAACTTTTGCTAGAAACAATTCCAATTTCTATTCGGGTCATCAAAATTAATTTAATTCACAATTTATAAAAAGTAACCACAGCCGAAGATCAGCAGAAGATGACAAATTATTTTTGAGCAAACTTTATCTTCTGTTTACTGACAATTTTTGGTCATAAAATTTTTTACTGGTCCCAAGCTATTGCTAGAACAATTCCAATTACTATCCGGGTCATCAAAATTAATTTAATTCACAATTCATAAAAAGTAACCACAGCCGATAATCAGCAGAAGATGGAAAATTATATTTGAGCGAACTTTACCTTCTATTTACAAAACCATTGTGAGTCGCAAAATTTTTACTGGTCCCAAACTATTGCTAGAAACAATTCCAATTTCTATTCGGGTCATCAAAATTAATTTAATTCACAATTCATAAAAAGTAACCACAGCCGATAATTAGCAGAAGATGGAAAATTATTTTTAAAGTGAATTTTATCATCGGCTTACAAACAATTATTGGTCATAAAATTTTCTACTGGTCCCAAACTTTTGCTAGAACAATTCTAATTATTATCCGGGTCATCAAAATTAATTTAATTCACAATTTATAAAAAGTAACCACAGCCGAAGATCAGCAGAAGATGACAAATTATTTTTAAAGTGAATTTTATCTTCCGTTTACAAACAATTATTGGTCATAAAATTTTCTACTGGTCCCAAACTTTTGCTAGAAACAATTCCAATTTCTATTCGGGTCATCAAAATTAATTTAATTCACAATTTATAAAAAGTAACCACAGCCGAAGATCAGCAGAAGATGACAAATTATTTTTGAGCAAACTTTATCTTCTGTTTACTGACAATTTTTGGTCATAAAATTTTTTACTGGTCCCAAGCTATTGCTAGAACAATTCCAATTACTATCCGGGTCATCAAAATTAATTTAATTCACAATTCATAAAAAGTAACCACAGCCGATAATCAGCAGAAGATGGAAAATTATATTTGAGCGAACTTTACCTTCTATTTACAAAACCATTGTGAGTCGCAAAATTTTTACTGGTCCCAAACTATTGCTAGAACAATTCCAATTACTATCCGGGTCATCAAAATTAATTTAATTTACAATTCATAAAAAGTAACCACAGCCGATAATCAGCAGAAGATGGAAAATTATTTTTAAAGTGAATTTTATCATGGGTTTACAATCAATTGTGAGTCGCAAAATTTTTACTGGTCCTAAACTATTGCTAGAACAGTTCCAATTACTATCCGGGTCTTCAAAATTAATTTAATTCACAATTTATAAAAAGTAACCACAGCCGATAATCAGCAGAAGATGGAAAATTATTTTTAAAGTGAATTTTTTTTCTGTTTACAAAACATTATTGGTCATAAAATATTAAGATATTAAAATTCAAAATATTCTTATAAATTCTTAAAATTAAATTTTTCTCGTTACTTTTAGTAAAAATCTTGACTTTTCCCTGAATCCTCTAAATCCTGTATTAATTTTCCGATTATGATAATTATTCTAATTATCATCAACATTATCATCATTCTTCTTCTATATCCCTTTGCCTCTCCTAATTCTTAAACTCTAATTTAATTATCATCTAATTAAAAAATTAAAGTTAACGATCACTACGAATCAATTATCTTTTCTCTTACCCTCATTACTTATATTTGTCTCTAATAAAAAAAAATTTTTGCAATATTTTATCTTGTAGTAGAATTTGTGTAAGATTTCTCGACTATTATCTAATCTGGAGACATAGCGATATATTGAGTTCAACACTCTTGCTCTTCTATATTCTTTGTAGAATAAAAAGTGAAAAGTGATTGGTAGTTACATTTTTGAGGGACATACTTTATTGCTACCCACATAATTAAGACAAGATGTGTGTAAATAAAAAAAAATGGTGGCATCATTGCCCCACTTGTTTCCCCACTATCAAAACGAATTAAATACCACTGTCGGCGCAAATAAGATACCAGTTACTATTATTCTTTTCAACTGTCAATAACTTTGTGAGTTACAATGAGAAACGAAATTTATTTTCTTTTCCTCACTTCTTGTGTGTTTCACGTAAGTTTTTGAATTTTTGCAGAAATCAAAATTATGTTTATAATCAACAAAAAGAATTTTGCAGATCTCTTTAGCAAACATTATTGACGATCATACCGAAATAATAAATGAACTGAAATTAATTGTTGGATCCACTGTCGATGAACTTAGTAAATATCAGAATAATTTTCAAACAGATGTGAAGAATTATTTGCAAATTGTTCATACGGATAATTTGAGGAAAATAAATAACGATTTGAATTATGTCTCGAATAGTATAATGGTAAAGTAATTTTATTTAAAAAATCCACTTGTGGTAATTATTACTATATTATTATTATTATTATTATTACCATTTTTATTATTATTATTAATTATTATTATTATTATTATTATTATTATTATTATTATTATTATTATTATTATTATTATTATTATTATTATTATTATTATTATTATTATTATTATTATTATTATTATTATTATTATTATTATTATTATTATTATTATTATTATTATTATTATTATTATTATTATTATTAATTATTATTTACTAAATTAGAAATTTTCTTTAATTTATAATTTTAATTTCTAATAGTAAATTAATTTTTCTGAATGCATTTTCTGTGTCGTATTTTGTATTCCGTTCATGCGGGTATATAAAACGCAGCATCGATTATTGATTGACAACTTTCTAATCATTCAGTACATAACTTCTTTAAAAAAAAAAAATTAAAAAGAAATTAATTATTTTCTTTATTCTATAATTTTATGCAATTAGAATGCAGTGACTGCAGTTGGCTCAACGGGCAAGAACGCTCAGTCTTGTTATGAAGCTTGTAAAGTCAGTTTAAAGAATCTGAATAAACAAACTAATAACAAACTCGACGAATGCTACCATTCATTCTCATTTTACACTGAGCCTGCTTTGAAAATAATCAAAACTGCTATTCAGGTAAATAGAAATCGTGTACTAATTAAATACCCTATTATTAAATAGAGAAAAAAATAAAATAAAAAAAAGTTAAAAACAAATAAAAACAAATTTAAAAAAAAATAAAAAAATATAAAAAAAATAAAAAAATATAAAAAAAATTTTTAAAAATAAAAGAAAAATAAAAGAAAAGAAAAAAAAGTAAATAAATAAATAAAATATTACAAATACATTGAAAAAAAAAATAATTTAATTAAAAAATTAAATAAATAACTAAAGAGAAAAAAAAATTTTTACTTAATTTTTAGAATGGTAAAAATATTTCCGAAGATCTGGATACAATATTTATTGGCTGTACAAAACATTTGACGGAGTCGGGCGATTGTTTGAAGGAAAAAATTGAAGAGGTTCGTAGAACCTTAAGAAAAATGCAAGCTGACGTGGAAAATATAAAAAATACAGGAACCTCTGCAATGAAGAAAGCAAAGACTGTTGTCACTTCCTGCAGTGATAAAGCCGTACGTTCTTTACACGTTGAAGCCACTTTTAACATTCAACGGGAAGCGAACAACTGCGTACGAAATATTTACAATGAATACAATTATTAAAATTCTCAATTTCTATAAAATACGTATGTACCTATTAGTTTTCGATCTTAAATGTTAGAATTTAAAAAAAAAAAGGAATTTGATCAATTTTTTATTTAAAATATCGAATTTGATTCACTGATGATAAAATATAATTTTCAAGCGAAATCGTTTATTTCTAAGAAAAAAGACGGCCATATTGGTTCCGCCATTTTGAATTTTGTAATTATCGAAAAATCGACTTTAAGAAAATAGCATTGAGAATGGGAATAGAATGCGAGAGGAGAGAATATTTTTGATTGTTTTGTATTATAAAATTTATAAATAATTGTAATAAAATTAAAAATTTACTAATGTTTAAAAAATTAATTTTTTATTATTTTTTTTTAATTTTAATTTAAAAAAAAATTTTTTTTTAATTTTTTTAATTTTCTTTTTTTTATTATTATTATTTTTACTATGGTAAAAACTAGCGAACTATGTTCAATGACAAAAAAATATTTAAATCACACAAAATTTCTATATTTTTGACCATTTTGAAAATATCTACCAGTTCAATGACCACAGTCAAAACTCAAAATATACAAATTTTCAGGTTCCTTAATATTTTTTTTCTCAGCCACAGTTTCCGAACTATGACAAGAACAAATTTAGTCGCTAATTAATTTTTTTTTTTGAATTCTATTACTATTAATATTTTACAATATTTTGTACTAATTTTTTTTTATGGATGTCACAAACTAAAATTTTTACAACTGAGAGAATTGATGTAAAAGTGAGAGAAGGGGGAGGGAGAGATGGAAGAAAGTATAAAGAAGCTCTCGTAAAGCGAAGAGCTGAAATGAATATAATAAAAGTCAGAAAGGCAAGAAGAAGAGGGTACCTCTTCCATCAATCACAGTGGTCGACCGAAGCGACGCGTTGCACAGACTCTAATTTGTTGGTTTCTTCTATATATTTATTCGGTCTCTGACATAAGGTGTTCTTTGCTCCGTAAACCGTCAACATTCGCCACGTTTTTAGTTACCCTTTAAATTTGTCTTCGGCACGTCAAAAAAAAAAAAAAAAAAAAAAATTGGTCATAAAAAAATAATACTAGCCGGGTGGGCAATTGCTTGATGAGACAAATAAATCTATTTTTCTTTAAATGACAATTTTTTTAGATTTTATTGCTCTTTGATTATTTATTTATTTATTATTCAACATTTATTATTTATTACTTTTTATTTCTTAGTTTTTATTATTTATTTATTAATTTTTTATTATTTGTTGTTTATTATCTTTTATTATTAATTACTTCTTATCTTTTATTCTTTATTGTTTATTAATTTTTTTTTATTTTTTTTATTATTTTTTTTATTATTTATTATTTTTATTATTGTTATTATTATTTATTATTTTTATTATTTTTATTATTGTTTTTATTATTTTATTTATTATTTATTAATCATTAATTATTAATTCCTTCTTTTTATTATTTATTTATTATTTTCTAATACTACTTTTACCCCTACAAGTTTCTTAGATTTTCGTTGCGATTCTCTAAACAAAAAAAAATTAACACCCTTGATGGGAATCGAACACTATGAACTTTTACATAAAATTGAGAACTCTTACCACGCGGCCACCACAACGATTCAAATTAAAAAACCTTCTTCTTTTCCAAAATTCGATAAAATTTAGAATTTTGACCGGAGTTTTTTTTCTAATTAAACAAAAGTATTATAAACTATTATAATATTAATTATTATGATAATAATAATAATAATAATAATAATAATAATAAATTTGATAAAAATTATTAAAAAAATATTTTTATTCAATGTTTCAAAAATTTTTTCGAATATCTTAGGAATTAAATTTTTATAACAAAATATAGTTACAATAAATTTTTGTTATTAATCAGCATTATTCTTATGCAAGAAAATTGCGAGTGGAGAAAGAAATTAAGTGTCAATTAAAGAAAAATGGGGGGATGAGGGGGGGGGGGAATATAAAATCAGTAATGGTCGTGATATGCCTTCAGGGTCGTTAACATAACTCACGAGAAAGAAGAACTTGTTTAATTCTTGACGCCCATGACAACCCATTATCGTTTATTAATGCCATTTACGGATCAAGGGTCGTCTTTGTTACCTGTTGACGTTTTAATTCTAATGCTAAAACGATGCAATTTCAACTTCCAGTAACAATTTACAATTTCCCTTTCACTTCTTGTTTCAAATCGAAAATGACAAATTTCAATATTATTTTTTTTTGTCTGTGATATTCTTTTTTCAGCTTTTTTAATAATTACTTAAATTTTTGTTTATGAATTTATGAATTTATTTATTTTAATAATTAATTTAATTACAATTAAATTAATTTTTTAATTAATCAATTAATTTAATTATACCTAAATTAATATTGATTAAGCTATTTATTTATTATTTTATTTATTCATTTATTTACTTATTTATTTGTTTATTATGTTTATTTGCTTATTTGTTTATTTATTTGTTTATTAATTTATTTACCAATTTTTTGTGTAAGAAACTCGATTAAAATAGTTCAATGCTAGCAATTTTTATATAGGAACTTGATATTATTTCTGTGCATTTAATTTTCGTGGGACATCTTAAATTACAGAAGCCAAAGACAGTTGTGTGTGACTGACGAAAAACAAATGTTTGCACAAAGCAGCATTCTGGCGCCAACAAATTAGCTGTCGGCATAATGCCAAGCGTCTTTAAGGAACCTCTTTATGCATCAAGACCTTTTTTTTATAATCGACATAAAAAAATTGCCTATTATTTTTGTTCAATCGACAAGATTAAATAATTCTAAATTGGAATTCATAGAATTAGAACTGGAATTAAAACTCGTAAAACTAATTTTAGACCTAAAAGTAGAATTAGAATTTTATGAACTAGTAGTAAAAATAGAAGTGCAATTAGAATACTTTGAACTAGAACTAGAACTAAAATTGGAATACCCTGAACCTTAAGTAGAACTGTAACTGCGAAATTAGAATTAGAAACATTAATTGTAGAACTACAAATAGAATTTCTAAAAATTCCTAGAACTAAAACTGGAAGTAAAACTAAAACTAGAATTCGAATTAGAACTGTCATTTCCAGAACTGGAACATTTCGTAGAACTAGAAATGAAATTGGAACAAGAATTAAAATTCATTAAATTAATTTGGACCTAGAACTAGAATTAATTAATATTACAATTAAAATTATTTAAACAAGAACTGGAATTCGTAGAACTAGAACTACAATTGTCGATTGAATTAGAATTCCAAGAAGTATGAATGAAAGTAAAATTAGAATAAAAATTCCTAAGATAAATTAGAATTTCTATAATTTGTACTTAAATTCGTAGAACTAGAACTGAAACTGGAACAAGAACTAGAATTCGTAGAACGAAAATTAGAACTGGAACTGAAACTGGAACAATAATTAGAATTAGTAGATAAAAAACTAGAACTGGAACTAAAACTATAATTATAATTATAACTGATATTTCTAGCAGTAGAACTGAAATAGAACTAGAATTAAAATTCCGACAATAAAATCTAGAACTAGAACTAGAACTAATTATAGGTAAAATTAAAATTACTAGAACTAGAACTGCAATTTATTAAGCTAGAAGTTCAACTGGCAATTGATTTAGAATTCCTTAGAGAAATTAAAATTTCTGGAATTAGAACTAAAATTCGTAGAACTAGAACTGAAACTGGAACAAGAACTAGAATTCGTAGAACGAAAATTAGAACTGGAACTGAAACTGGAACAATAATTAGAATTAGTAGATAAAAACTAGAACTGGAACTAAAACTATAATTATAATTATAACTGATATTTCTAGCAGTAGAACTAAAATAGAACTAGAATTAAAATTCCCACAATCGAATCTAGAACTAGAACTAGAAATAATTATAGGTAAAATTAAAATTACTAGAACTACAACTGCAATTTATACAAGAAGTAGAAACACAATTGGCAATTGATTTAGAATTCCTAAGAGAAATTAGAAATTCTGTAATAAGAACTGAAATTCATAGAACTAGAACTGAAACTGGAACAAGAATTGGAACTCGTAAAACGAAAATTAGAACTGGAACTAAAACTAGAATTCGAATTCATAGAACTAGAACTGAAACTGGAACAAGAATTTGAACTCGTAAAATGAAAATTAGAACTGGAACTAAAACTAGAATTCGAATTAGAGCTGTTATTCCTGGAAGTAGAACTGAAATAGAACTAGGATTAAAATTCCTACAATAAAATCTAGAGCTAGAACTAGAATTATAATAATAATAATTATAATAATTATAATTAATTATCAATTGGCAATTGATTTAAAAATCCTTAGAGAAATTAAAATTTCTGGAATCAGAACTTAAATTCATAGAACTAAAACTAAAACTGAAGCAAGAATTCGTTTTCGTAAAACAAAAAGTAGAACTGGAACTGTTAAAATAATTCGTATTTGAACTACGATTCCTGGAAGTAGAATTAGATCTAAAATTAGAAACTGGAATTAGAATTAGAACTATGATTCCTAGAACTGTAGGTAATATTAAGGGTAAAACTAGAATTTAAGTGCTGTGAACTGGAACATTAATTTTCAGAACTAGTTCCAGAATTAGACATGATGAAACTAAAAATAAAATTAATAGAACTAGAATTCTTAGCATTTATAAAACTAGAACTAAAATTGGAACTAGAATTAAAAATTCCAACAATAAAAATCTTGAGTTAGAACTCGAATTAATTAGGGCTAAAAACAAAACTATTAGAACTAGAACTGCAATTCGTGGAGCTAGAAGTAAAATTAGCAATTACTTTAAAAATCCTAAATGAAATTAGAATTTCTAGAACTAGAACTGAAATTGGAACAAGAATTAAATTCCATAAAATTAATCTAGAACTAGAACTAGAATTAATTAATGTTACAAAATTAATTGAATTAATTGAAACTAGAAAATTAATTGAACTAGAACTGTAATTTGCACAGAACTAGAACTACAATTGTCGATTGATTTAAAATTCCTAGAAGTAGGAATAAAAGTAAAATTAGAATAAAAATTCCCAGAATAATTTAGAATCAGAATTAGAAATTAAATTCATAGAAGTAGAACTGAAACTGGAACAAGAATTAGAATTCCCAGAACGAAAATTAGAACTGGAACTAAAACTAGAATTCAAATTAGAACTCTGATTTGATTCCTTCCTAAATAACGAATTCTACACTTTTTTTTCAAGTTTCGAACTTTGGAAAAAATGACTCATAATATTATGAATAAAAAACGATGATGGAAAATATTTGAATTCCTAACACGGGAGAAACTGTTAAATTCTAATCCTATTAATAC